CATATTGCTAACTTCACCATTTTTTCAAATAACCAGTTCTACTTATCAGTTATTATATTTTACTAAAACCAAATTGCCTACTTCTTGTCAAAAAAATCTTGAAATAAAAAAGAGGATAGGAGGCAGCCAACTTGAAGAAGATAGTAAGAGTTATGCTATACAAAATAATATATCTAACTAAGTAGCTACTTCTGCTAAGACTTTCATAGTACTTAACAAAGCTCCAGAGCTTGTCTGCTACTTCTTTGCTTAGTAGTACCAGAGTCTTTTGCCAGAGAACTTCACTTACAAGAGAGACTCTTTTTAACTCTATTTCAGTTATACCAACATATAGTGAATAGCTACTAATCCTAGCTACTACTAGTAAAGTTTTGTAGTATTTAAATATAGTAACTGTATAGTTTTTGTAGGTTAGGCTTTTTGGAAAAGTTAGTGCGAGAGATCATTGAAAAGAGTTGATCACTTTTTATTGAAAAAAAAAAATAATATATTATATTGGCTAACTCAAAGTTGTAAAGCTACAAAAAAAAAGTTTAAAAGTTATTATAAGAAAACAAGTATATTATATCTTTTGTTTATAGTATTAAATCTACAATTTAAGTTTTGATATTTTAAAATACTTAACTAGCCATTGCAACTTATTAATAAAATTAAGAATATTATTATTAAAAATAAATATAAAGATGAGTATATATCTTTTTCTAATTTAAGCATATTATATAAAACCACTATATAATATACAATTATGTTCTAAATTTTTAAATAAACATATAGAGGTAAGACAATAGAAATCAAGCAAATTTTTTATAATAAAAATTTTTTATAACTTTAAGCAAGAATAATTTAACAAAAATGTAACCAAATTTAATAAAAATTTTTTTAAAGTTTTAAAAAAATTTATTAAAAAATATTTGCTTGATTTTTATTAACTCAACCTATATATAGATCAACAAAACGAATTAGATATATACTTGAATATACTATATAAATTTAAATATTAATATATGACAAATGAAACAAGTTAACCAAATTTGACAAAATTTGTACAAGATTGTTTTTTGATTTCTACAACAAGTATTTCAAGCAAGAGGATATTTGGTATTAGTAAAATATAATAACTGATAAGTAGAACTGGTTATTTGAAAAAATGGTGAAGTTAGCAATATGTTTAAGGTTATAGAGAAAGAATATTAAAATAAGCAAAATAAGCAAAATTAAATCAGATTTGTAAAATTGAATAAAAAAAAATAATAGAAAAATCAAAAAAAAAAATAGAAAAATCAAAAAAAAAATAGAAAAATCAAAAAAAAAAAAATAGAAAAATCAAAATAAAAAGATTAGAAATTCAAAAAAAAAGAAAAAGGATATATTGCTTATTATTTTTTTTTTTTCATAGTAAATGTAGGTCATATAACAGATATTATATGCCAATTAGACTCAAATAAACTCACGCGATCTACTTGTTATTTGCTAAATTTCCATATCAGAATATTAAAAATTCTCACACAACCTTTAATTCTTTTAAGCATTAAACTACTAGTTCTTCGAGTTCTGATATTACTCAAGCTTCAGTTCTTTTAAAATTCTATTTAATAGGGCACAACATTTCTAAACTTTTGGTTCTTTTAAATTCTATTTGGCGTGAAGCTATAGTAATAAACTTTCAAGTTCTTTAAAATTGTTTTGGAAACGATATTTCAAAATCTCAGTTTTTATGATTCTATTGAATGGGTATAACATTTCTAGACCTTTGGTTTCTTTTAAAATTCTATTAAGCGTAAGTTGTTTTGAACAGGGCATGATATTACTATATCTTTGGTTCTTTTAAAGTTCTATTGAATGGGATATGACTTTACTAGATAATTGGACTAAGATATGTTTTTTTTTTTTTTTTAAACATTCTGATTTTTATTATTTAATGTAATTTGTGCATATTCAACTAATAACTATTTATTATTTTCTAGATTAATTAAAAGTTACGGAATCAGCAGTAATTGTATAATAGTTATTAATAATTGTTATTTTTCTCTTTAATCTTCTAATGCCACCTAATGTTAGATTTTTAATTAATGCATTAGAATGTAAAGGTAAATTTGGATGTGTGGAATCCTTAAAAGAAACACAAAAATTATTTGAAAATGATGATAATTGTGGTTCTAGTGTTGATTCGCGTAATGATGCAGACGATGCTGATTCTTGAGATACAGTAATGATGCTGATTCTTGAGATGATAATGCCGCTGATTCTTGAGATGATAGTGCTGATTTTTGAGATGATGATGCTGTTTTTTGAGATAAGTATAATTTTTCAAAATCTTCCTATAAATTGTTAACTATTTAATAAATGAATACCAATATTATTATTTAATATTAATTAACTTACTTTATTCGATGGTAATTTGCCAGCAGTTCCAATCAGAAAAGCCAAAGCTTTCTTTTTTTGTTTATCTGAAGGCCTTGAATAAATTCTAAAAGAGGATTCGCTTTTATGTCCCATAAGTGCCATAGAAGTAATAATTGGTACACTGGCTTGGTAAAGAGAAGTAATTGGAGTTGTACGGCCAGAATAGTTAACTATATCCTGACCTTGTATGTTAATACCTGCTGCATTACAAATGCTTTTCATCAGGTTATCGCAGGTTTTGATTTCAAGCTTTGAATCAAGATACCATTCACCTCGAATTATAGCTATATTTTAAATATTTATTTATTTAGTTTACCATTTAATTAAATAATTATTTTTTGTTTTTTAATTTAAATAAAATAAGAATTTTACCTTTTGAATATTTATTTATTTTTAAATATAAAAATTCACAAGTATAGTTAGAAGGTTGACGGTCAATATATAGCTTTAAATCATGAACAGGACCAAGTAATCCTTCAGGGTCAGGTGGTACTAGTATAACTAATGAATCCAAGTTACCATCAACCCCGCCCTGGTCATTCTTTTGTGGGAATTTTGTAAATTGTAAGCCACCATTTTGTGTAAAAACAAACTGTGATACACACATTTCACCATGTTCACCACCACGAGGAGCAAATAATAAACAACACCACATAAATACACGGTATTATAAGCCTTGAGGATAAGAGATAGATATTGCATCTTTATTAAATATCGCCTGAACTTTTGCATTAGTTAATGGATCATGATGTCGCACAACTTTTTTCACTTTTTTAAGTTGTTTCATTTTACTAACCAAAGTTTTCTATAAATCTCAAAAGTCTTGTTTGCTGGCCAAATTATATTTATTAGCATTTAATGGATGATTTAAGAGATACATCGTGAGACAATTAATAGCATTGCATAATGAAGATGGTGTATATTCTTCTCCACTTTTTAATTGACGTACACTACACACAAACTCGACCATTTCTTGCTCAAGCTGCTGCTTATTTTGAATAGTTTCAATTTTATATTCGTAACCAACATTCTCATACTAGTTACTTAGTACACAAACCCAATTATCAATTGTTTTTTTTGTATTTTCTGGAATCGTAGAGTTTTTTATATATTGTATTTCTTCTTTAGAAGGTTTAAAGTTTTTGGTGTTGGTTTTAAGTATTTTTTGCTATAAAAAAAAAAGATATATATTAGAGTTTTTTTTCTATTTCTTTTTTTTTTTATTCTATCATTTTAAATTCTTACTTTAGGCATTTTTTTATAGCAATATAAGGTGAGCGATATAAGGTGATCGATACAAGATGTACAATATAAGAGTATAATATAGCAGTACAAAGTAACAATACAATGAGCGATATAAAAGTAAGTGTGCAAATTTTTAAATTATAATTTTATTTTATTTATATACGCCTACAAAGTATTATATTATTAATAAATTAACTTTTAATCCCCATAATTAATTTAATTAACTTTCAAATACAATTTCTTAATTAACTTACCAGAAATTTAATCTATTTTAAAAAAAAAAGTTCTATTAATTCAGAATTTTCATTAATAGCGGTGGCGATAATATAAAACTGATATAATTTCAATTCTTACTCATCAATATTATCATAATTATTCAAAACCTTCGTTTAGATTTGATTTAAAAAAAAAAAATAAATCTGTTATTGGATGCTTTGCACCAATAACAGTCGCATCTGGCAGTGAATTTTTATGCACTCGCACCTGGGCCCCTCTGGGGCCCAGGGCTCGCACATAAAAATTCACTGCCAGATGCTTTTTTTATTTGTTATCCAAAATGATCATCACGTGATCCTTCAGATCATAGTATTCTCATTTTTCCTGCCATATAAAACTGTTATTGGATGCTTCGCATCCAATAACTATTTATTATTTTTTTGTATAAATAATTATAATAAGTTAAAAAAATATACATAAAACATTCTTATTATTAAAAATCTGCAAAATAAGGATTCAACTGTGTTTTTAGTTAATCAATACAAAGTATTATAGTATTATTAAAGCCTGGAAATTGAAATTAAAATAAATAAATATAAGATATTCTATTTTTTTAAATTCTGCTAATATTAGAATTTTATTGGCTTTAGCCATATATTTTTTTTTTATTCATTTAGGCTTTTGAATATTTAATAGTAATACTATTATATTTTATTAGTTCTTATAAAATGTATTGTAAGTAATAAAGGTTTATAAGACTTGCTCTTTAACTGCTTGCAAATTATTTTTATTAATAACTATTTTTATTTGTGCAATAATTAAATTCTAGTTTGGTTTTGGGTTTGATAATATGGTTCTGGGTTTGAATATGGAATCAAAACAGATTTTTAATCTGAGTTCAATTTGTACAAAACCTAAACCAAACTAGACTGTGTAGAACACTAGCCATGGCCTAAGTTAGAATAGAATTAGAGTAAGAATCTGGAAAGGATTTAAGCTTAATTTAGATCAATCAATGTTAATTAATTAATGCAGGCCAAAAAGTCACAAGAATTAATCTGAGGCACAACATGTATATAGTATAATAAATATATCAATACTACTCTGGTATAGGCGTTTGACCTTCTTAAAGTCTTATAATCTTCTGCAGCAAAAAGAAATAGTTTAAAAACATTAAACCAAATTTCAAACCAATTCAATAGATAGTAGACAACACAACAAATCTGAACCAGGCAAAAATTTTTTTAAAAACCTGATATAAACAAAATAAAAATACTTTTTATTAGTAATAAATTCGAAATTCATAAATATTTCATGCTATAGTAAGTAAAGTTAGATAATAAAGTTCACTGATAATTTCGAATGTGCATGGCTTTTTCTTTTTTTACACAATAAAAATTTTAGGATATTACTAACTTGTACCTGTTAACATAATCATCTTATTTTAACTCAAAACAACTTAAATAATCACACTTGATGCACTAAGTAAAAATATTCAGCACTATAAAAAACCTTATTCTAACTTTAACTTTAACCCTAACTCTAATTCTAACTTTAATCATAACTCCATTTTTAATATTAATTCTAATTTTAATTTTAAAATTTGAATAAAAATTAATAATAAATTATGAATAGTTAAAATTAGTTAAATTTAAAAATTTTATAGTGATTAAAATTAAGTTTTATAAATTCGATTTATAATGTGACAAAAATGTCGTTACGAGATCCGATTGAATATCAGATTTTAAATAGAGATTATGTACCTGATTTTGGTGGTCATGTTAAGGGATTTGAGTGAGGTGCTTTATATAGTGTAAAATATTTAATGAACTGTGTTTGATTTTTTTTGTAATTCAGATACTTGTTATAATAACACAGTATGGAAATTCATAGCGCATAATTATATATATAACTTATGAAATTCTCGTGGCCAACATAATAATAAAATTCCTAAAATAATATTATTTATCTAACAAATGAACTTTTGTTAACTTCAAATCATGATTATTACAATGATTAAAAAACTTTAATGCTGCAATTAGAAGTATGGGCGTATTTTTGTGCAGATGGTCAAATATCGAAGGGTTATTCTTGTAAAAATTGGTTTTTTTCTGTAATATTTATTATTATTATTATTTCAAGTTTTATTTTTTAAAAAAATCTATTTGTAACAGCCTGTTAATGTTAGGGTTAGTGTTAGGTTAGGTTTGGAGTTAGTATCAAGATTAATACAAAATTGCGAGAGGTTCATTTTTCAGTAGCGCAAAAGAGATTATTTTAGTAAAATTTTGAATTATAAATCGAACTATTACAAATAAGCACGTAATAGGCTGTTACGAATAGATTTATCCTTATTTTTTGAATAGGGATTGGAACCATTATAGTTTAACCTCATTTAACCATTCATTTATATTTATACGGGTAAAAGTTTTTTATAAACAATTATAAATCGTTTAAATTTTACGCGATTATGCTTTTAAGAGTGATTTGGTTGATCAGAAATAAATAACCCGTAGATTCGCTTTAAATTCATCGATTAGGTTGTTCTGTGTTCTCAATGGGGTTATAAAATTACCATAATTTTTGTGTAAATTTTCGAAACCAAATTTCATATACTTTAATATCATGTGAATAATGTAGCTAAAATTTTATTATACCTAGTGTACTTTTGAATATAAAATTATAGCTCAGAACGTAGTCTAATAATACTACAGTAAAACCTCCCTAAGTGCACCCCCCTCGGAACCATAGTAAAAAATTGGTTTTTTTCTGTAATATTTATTATTATTATTATTTCAAGTTTTATTTTTTAAAAAAATCTATTTGTAAC